CTGCTTCGGCCCCCGGCACAAGAAACGGGATGGCAGAGGCTGAGCAGGCTACAGGTGTCCCCGAGGTGCTGCAAGGAGGAACAGAGTTAGAGGCGCTCCTCACCTTCTGTCCCTGTGGTCCTGGCTCGCCTGGGTCTCCAGCATCACCAGCGTCACCCTGCCCGGAGGGGAAATATCGGCATCAGATGCAGTGGCTGTGCCCCATCCCCATCCCAGGGTGGGTTAAAAGCTGAGCTCCTGACTTCCATGGGCTTCTCCACCCTCCTCTGACTGGGATTTTGGTGCTGGGTAAGACATGGCCCCGCAGCTCCGCCTGCACCAGGAGGTGACCCCCAGCTGTGACCCACGCCAGCCCCAGAGCGAGCGAGGGCGGAATTCCGAGAGCAGCCAAGCAGCACCTCCTCCAGCAAGGGGACCCCGCAGAGCATCAGTCCCCCTCCTCTCACGGGGGCACCTCAGCCTGTCTGTGACAAGCCGTAGCACGTGCAGCCGTCCAGAGCCCCGGGTGGCACATCTTCCCTGTCCCCATCCCCTGGCCGTGACACCGTGGTGTCCGCCAGCACACGTACCTCCTTGCCTTGCTCCCCGGGCCGCCCCGGGGACCCCTCCTGCCCATCGTCCCCCGGCTCCCCGGGGTCCCCTCCGATGCCCGGAGCTCCGCAGGTTCCTGCCTCTCCCTGGAGAGGACAAAGACGACCAGGATTATTCTCGGGTGACTTTGCCAGCTCTGCCCTCCATCATCTCTCACCCCACATCAGCCCCTCTTTTCCTTAACCAGGTACCCAAGCTTTGAGGGCACCTGGACCCCCCCGTACCGTGCCCAGCAATGTAAATCCCCAGGCACGAGCATGCTGGGGGTGGGTTCACAGAATTCACAGAATGGTTAGGGTTGGAAGGGACCTCTGGAGATCATCTAGTCCAACCCCCCTGCCAGAGCAGGGTCACCTACAGCAGTTGCACAGGACAGCGTCCAGGCGGGTTTGGAATGTCTCCAGAGTGGGAGACTCCACCACCTCTCTGGGCAGCCTGTGCCAGTGCTCCACTACCCTCAAAGTAAAGAAGTTCCTTCTCATGTTAAGATGGAACTTCCTATGTTCAAGTTTATGCCCATTACCCCTCGTCCTATCACTGGGCGCCACTGAAAAAAGACTGCTCCCATCCCCCTGGCATCCTCCCATTAAGTATTTGTATGTATTAATAAGATCCCCCCTCAATCTTCTTTTCTCTAGACTAAAGAGACCCAAGTCCCTCAGCCTTTCCTCATAAGAAAGGTGCTCCAGTCCCCTAATCATCTTCGTTGCCCTAATCATCTTCGTTGCCCTGGTTTCAAACAGCCCTAGGTGGATTTAGGTGCCCGCCTGCCCCTGCAGCAGCGGGGCCGGGCAGCCCCAGCGCCGCCAGCAGCATCACCCCCCGCCCCCAGCGGGAACCGACCTGCTCGCCTTTGGGCCCCGGCTGACCCTCTGCTCCCGGCGGTCCCGGTGGTCCCTGGGGAGGAAACGACCAGCACGGCTCGTTTACCCCGCGCTGCTCAAAGCCTTTGGCTCAGCGAACGCGGACACAGCTTTCAACTTTCTGGTTTGGCTGAGGATCAGCCACCTCCTCCCCTCCTCTCCCAGCCCCGGGGAAGGCACGCAGGGAGAGGGAAGGACGGGGTGCCCAGCGGACGTACCTGCTCGCCATCCAACCCGCTGACGCCGGCTTCCCCGGCATCTCCCGCATCACCCTGCCAGGGGACACACAGACATTAGGACAGACAGCCGTGGTGGTCCTCCATGCACACCCCGCTGCCCCGGCCCCCGTAGGAGGGCTTGCAAAGCTCTTCTCCCACCTCCCACGTAAGTCCCCATCCCACTGGACAAAGCCAGTGGCCAAACTGGGAGGAGTGCTTGCACCTACAGCCCAGGGGAGGAAGAACACCCCTTTGGGCAAGGAGAGCGAGCCCAAGGCTCTGCCTGCCTGGGCAGCTCAAAACTCACCTTCTCTGTCCTTACCTTCTCTCCTCTCATCCCCGAAGGCCCTTCAGGTCCATTTGGACCTTCTCGGCCCTGAAAACAAAGTCGATATCAGCAGCAAGGCATTGCACGAGCTCAGGAGGCCTTTGCAGGTCCCGAGCCGGGTCTGGGATGACCCAGCACACCACGTCCCCACGGGCAGAGACACCACTCGCAGCTTCTCAAGCCCCTTGCACCACCTTCCCTTCTCCTTCCCTTCCTGCAGGTGCTTTTGGGAGCGCCCTAAAAGCGTTGGACCAGCAAAATCTCACACCCTGTCCTAGGGGCTGAGGCAGGAGGTTGTGTTGGGCACTGATCGAAGGAACCATAGATCTGCACTCACCGGGTACCCAGGTGGGCCAGCAGCACCAGCCGCTCCAGGAGCCCCCGTTTCTCCTGCCAAGCCAGGCTTTCCAGGGATGCCGTCCAGCCCCCGTGTGCCAGGATCACCCTGCAAGGCCAAAAGGCCACTTAGGTACCCCAAAACACAGCTTGCGGTGCAGTTCCAGGGAGGGCAATGCCAGTGGGAGCCCCATGCCTGAAGCAGTTGGGCCACCGTGGGGTCCACAAGGTGCCACCTGTGCCTGGTGGGTACCAGTGCCTCGTCACTGCAGGTCCAGGAGGACACTGCTGTCTCCATACCCGACTTGTCACCACCCAGCTACCCATGCACGGTCTGGGTCATTCTCTGCCCCACAACCAGCCCAGAGGTGAAGCTGCCTCCAGCGTAGGCACCTATCTTTCATGCCATCGGACATCACCCAACTCCCACCTACAGGGCATCTCTGCAAGCTACAGCTCTCCCACTTACAGGCAGCCCTGGAAGCCCTCGAGGACCCGGGTCTCCTGTTCTGCCCTGAAACAAGAAGGATGCTCAGCAGCGTGGTCACGGCCAGGAGGCGCAGGGGACCCCGAGCACGGTGAGGCTTGGCTCCGGCGTCCCCCATCTGCCTGGGCCACCTCCGTGAAGCACCAGGACAAAACCTAGCCAGCAACCAGCGGGACCAGGGTCCTGCCTGCTCCTGCAACGGGCTCTGGGATCCACGTTGCTAGAGCTATAGGTAACACAAGGTATATATTGTACATCCGCAGGGCACCGCGGCAGAGGGAGCGGAGCAAGGCAGGACGCGGGGAGCACAGCGAGCCCTACCTGGGAGCCGGGAGCACCTCGTGGACCAGGGGGACCTGGCAGGGCCTGGGGGAGGAGAGAGCCATCACAGCCCCGCGCCGCGGCCCCCACTGCTCCCCTCGCCCCAGTTTAGCTCCTTGATGCCAGTGGCAAAGGTTTCCCATTTTCCTGCGCCCAGCAAAGGCGACTTGGCTCAGTGCTTCTCCGGGAGACGGCAGCAAACAGCACTCACCTTGGGACCAGCTTTTCCTGGAAATCCTGGTGGGCCTTGGGCTCCCCTTTCTCCCTGTTGGGAGGCGAGAAAGATTTCCTTTCTGCTGCATGTTTTAACGCAGTAACCTCTTATGGAAAGGAAAAAAAAAAAAACAAAACCCAACCCCAACCCAGCTGCCTGGCATCTTCTAACAAGGCACAGGAGTTTGGGCAGATGAAGTGCTGGAGAACCACTGGTTCACCCAACGTGGGCGCCATCTCCAGTCGTCCTCTTCCTGCCACCCCCGCAACCTCCCTGGCACGGTTGATGGAGACCGTTTGCAGACACCAACCAAACCCATCCGTTGGGTTCAACAGCCCAACCCCAAAACGTTTTCGAAGCCTGGACTCCCACCCCAGCGCATCTCCTCGCCACAGTGCTGGATTTCCCAGCCCTACCTTGTCTCCCCTGCGCCCCGGCCTCCCGCGGTCGCCAACAGGTCCCGGGTAACCCTAGGGAGAGAACGGCATTAGGAGGCAGCCGGGTCCACCCGACATCTCCGGGATTTGGGAGAAGGCGGCTGCTGAGGCTCAGCTCTCGCGTGGGGAAAGGCAGGACCGCGGGCACCGCAGGAGCCCTGCCAGGATGGTGAGTCCCTGGCTGGAGGCAGTGTGGTTCCAGCGAGACTCCCCCCAACCCGGCTGCTGCCCACAGGCAAGGCAGGCAGCACTGCACCCCCTCCCCGGGCAGGTCTGTCACTTACGTAGGTGCCGACAGGTCCTTGCGGCCCCTCGGAGCCCGGCTTCCCAGGCAATCCCTGCCAGGCAAGACGAGGACATTAACCTCCACTCCTGGGGATGTGGGTGGGCAGCTTCCCGTCCTTGGTGTCCACGTCTGAACCCACCGGATCCCCCCAGGTCTCCCCGTGGCAGCCAAGAGTCTCCCAGGGCTGTTCACCACCATCACTGCTCCAACCAGCGCCCCCAACGTGCTCATGGACCCCCCCAACGCCCCAGCTCTCACCTTTGGGCCTGGGGAACCTGGGTCTCCATCAGGTCCAGGTTTTCCCAGAGAGCCCTTTGGAAATATTTGGGGAGGTGATATCAGTCAAAACGCCGTGATGAGCCAAGCCCCACCGAGCCACCGCTGCTGCCTCTCTGCCCATGGACAAGCGTCATCTGTCCAAACTGGGTTTGTTGGGGGCAGACTCTGCCACCATGGCCCATCCTGGTGGCTCCTGCACACCAGCGCCCCATGGCTGGCTCTCCGGCAGGGCTGTCACCAGGAAGGGTGACAACACTCACTCTTGGGGTAGTCACCGAGCCCAGCTGAGAGCGGGCTCTCAGGGAGGAGCTCTTCCAGTTGCAGGAGCTGCTCTGGGTCTCCATCTCGTTGGGCAAAGACATGGGAATGGCCTCCCTGAACCCGTACCACCCATTTCTGCCTGGGATGGAGCAAACACTTTGACCCCCTCCCAGGACCATTCCGCCACCCCAGTGGGAGGGGTTTCCATGGGTTGCGCTCCCCCACAGAGATCCCATTAGGCTCAAGGAAGGCTGCAAAGTCCCTCCGGCAGGCTGATTCCCTAGGGAAATTATTTTCCTCTTCCCTAGCCCCAGCCCTTTCTGCCACTCCTCAGGCTTTTTAAATGCCTTTTAACCAGAAAAGATTCAGGTCCTTCAGATACCCTGACCAGTGGCACCAGCCCATGCTGGACACCTCGCTGACTTCCCACCCATGCTGCTTGGCCGACTAAGAAAACGCAGAGTTCACGCAGAAGGAAGGTTTTACTCCTTACTATCGATCCAGGAGGTCCAGCGTGCCCGCGGCCCCCCTGCAAGCCGGCAAAACCCTGGAAGAAAGGGCAGAAGATGAGCGATGGAGGGAAGGGAGAAGTAGGATGGATGGAGAGGCTCTCCCGTGGTCCGAGACCAACTCAACGCAGAACCCAGTGCCCGGGGGCAGGCGCAGGTGAACGCCTCAGCCTGTCGAAGGCAGCACTGGTGCTTTCCACTTCAAACCAGCCCTTTGGTTTCTGGTTGCTGAAGCTGCGTGTGTATATGCACACACCGCCCACACGCGCATCCAGGCAGCTCAGAGCAAACTCGGAGGCGCTTCTCTCTGACCCAGATCAGAACATTTTTCATATTTTGTTTTGAGAGAAGTGCCGGCTCTTTTTTTTTTTTTTTTTTTTTTTTGGTATTTCAAAGCAAAGATAAACAAATATTAGAAATCCTGCAGAAGGGAAATCATGTGGCCAGCCAAGGTCTTGCTGATGGGTCTGTTTTGGATAGCAGTGCCAGGGATGAGAAATCATTCTGCAATAGCCATTTCTTAAATGTGCTGCCACTTTCCCTCTCCCTCTCCTTTATTCCCTTCAGCACGATGCTGAGAAGATCCCTGCCTGCAGCCGCACGCAGAGGAGCGCCCTCCAGCTGGTCTCACTCCATCAGGTCCACCCACCACCCACACCCCATCCCACGGACATGCTTTTGAGGCACATCCCCAAAGAGAAAGAGCTGAGCAGAGGGGAGGAAGGACAGAAATCAGACAGCTGTGCAGCTCTACTCACCGGTGGTCCCCTCCTGCCTGGGCTGCCCATGGTCCCTGGGGCACCCTGCAGGACAAAGCAGGCGATGATGAGGATGGGGAGGCAGAGGCAGCCTCTCCCAGTCCCACTGTGCCAGCTTACATACATGGGATCAACCCCCCCCTCATGGGGACATCCCTGAGGACAGCCTGCCTCTGCACATCGTAGAGATGTCCAACATAGCGTCAAGGTCTTGACCTGCACGGCCATGGGTTGGGTTGGCCATGGGTTGGGTTGGCCATGGGTTGGGTTAGGAAGTGTCCTCCCCACATTGGGCTCAGCTCCCCCACCTTGATACAGCCCACCCCCCCAGCCCTCGCCCACAGTCAAGTACAGAGCGTAGGATGGGAACCTGTGTACCAGGCTTTCCTTCTGCACCTTCCGCTCCCAGGACGCCCCGCAAGCCCTAGAAGAAGAGTCTCGTCTTAGGAAAGGAGAGCCCCCAGCAGGGTGCCCCTACCAAAGGGCTCATCAAGCCCCGGAGCCTCTCTCCAGTATTAAAAAGTGGCAAATTGGCAGTGGCGCGGTCCCCAGGATGCTCGTCTGGTCTGTATGGAGCCCTGGGTTCGTTAGCACATGGCTCGTGCTTACACAGCTCCTCCCCACTCCATCCCACCTTTGGATGCGATTGCTGGGAAAAGAGATGAGTGTGGGAGGAAACCCGTTCCCACCGTGAACACCTCGACTGTGTTTTTTCCCCCGCTCTTGCCCCAGCTATCTATTTCTGGCTTCTTTGCCAAACACGGCTCTGAGTAACAGGCTTTTCTTCAAAAGTTATTTCCTGAATTTTCCATGCTCGGGGTAAGAGGGAAGTCGTGGTGCCGGGCAGGTGGTTTGTCAAAATGTTACGCGCAAAAGCCTGAGCTGCTCCTCCCCAGCTCACCCCGGGCACATTCCCAAGCAGAACGCCACCTCGTGATCCAGCCACATCCCGGGATGTTGCTCCCCGAGAGCTGCACCCTGTCCCAGCGGTGACAGCACTATGTGACTATGGGTCACCTCCTACTTACGGGCAGCCCAGGGACTCCAACCAGCCCGCGCTGACCCACACGGCCCTGAAAAACAGCCAGCATTGAGAAAAGCATCCTTCTGCCAGTAGTAACTGCAGATTTGGAGGCAAAGCTGGTGCTCGAAGATGCAACGGCTCAGCCCCAGCACATCCCACGCCACCCAGCGAGAGGTCTCCAGAGTTGTTTCAATCTCCCACGGCCAAAGATGCTCCAAGATTCAGCTACAAGTACCCGCACCCCATTAGTTACCCGGGCTCCCCGCGGTCCTGGGCTTCCCTTGGGGCCATCAGGTCCTCGGCCTCCCTAAAATCCATATGGAGGGAAACATTTTAGGCAACGCTGCCGGTCTCCCCTGGCCCGGTGAGCACCGGAGGGACTCATCCAGCCGCCGCCACGTTGGCAGGTCAGCACACGGCCGCAGTGATGCCATGCACAGGGCGACCAAGAGGCGTGGGACTGTCCCCGCGGGGCAGCGCGATGCTGTCCCCTGGGTGCTGGGACCCACTCTGGAGGTCACGGGCAAGGTGGTCGCATCCCTGCCCTTCTGTGCCAGGATGAGGGCAGCCCGCGGGGGACCTGGGGACACAGAGGTGATCGCCGGCACTGACCTTGGGTCCCTCACTGCTGTTGAGCCCCACCGGGCCGATTTGGCCTTCTTCCCCCTGCCAGGAGAGAGGAGAGGAGTCAGCCAGGGCAAAGGCAGCCTCTGATCTTCTGCCTGCTCCCCCAGCCATGGCAGCCACTGTCCCCCTGCTCTGAGCAGGGGAGAGACAGAGGGAACACAGCCAGAGGTGACATTTATTAAATGGCAATGCGACCTGGGGCACCTTTGGGGTGGGGATGGGGACCTCCCCCATCCCCTGGGCCAGAAATAAAAAGCTCAACGGGTTCAGTGTTGGCCCAAACCACCACAATTGAATGTTTTTGTTTCCCGCTCATCCCATTAAAGGCAATTCAAAGGAGTGATGTGGAGCTGAGGCTCCTGCCTGCGCGGTTACAGCCCTGGCGGGGGCAGGCACAGCCCGGACCCGGCTCCGGACTGATGCCGTGGGATGGCAGCGCCGCTCGGCTGGGTGGGAAAAGCACTGCCTGGCAGCGAGGTGAGTCGTGCCGCATCTCCATCTCTTGGAGAGGTGGGAGGATTCATTTCTCATCCTGAAGAGCAAATGTGAGGGCAGATCCAGGCGGGCATCCCTAAACACCTCCGAGGGGGAGGGCATCACACGCAGGGGAATGCTGCAGACCAGAAAGGTGGGTGGGAAAATAGAATCCCCCCCCTTTCTCCTGACAAACTAGAAGCCACTAGAGATAAGCAGCCAGCCTGGCTTCACTGCCCAGGTAGAAATATTGCTCTGCAGGCGGGTTTGTCCATCCTGACAGCTCACTCGGAGCACACACTGCAGGAAAAAGCACTCTAGAAATTGTGCCTGGTTTCTGGGGCTCCTTGAGCGCTGCTCTGCTCGGCTCTTGGGAGCTGGGGAGGGTCGGGGCCGGGCAGGATAGCTGGTGAGGAGCTGGGCAGCGGCAGCGCTCCGGAGCGGGCAGCACAGGCTGCGGGAGGCAGGAGTCAGAGAGGAGCATCACTTCAAGAGAGCGATCGGGGAGTCCTGTGCTCTCAAAACACCTGTGTGAGCACCTCTCCCATGAGGAGAGGCTGAGAGAGTTGGGGGTGTTCAGCCTGGAGAATAGAAGGCTCCGGGGAGATCTTGTTGTGGCCTTCCAGCCCTAAAGGGGCTCCAGGAGAGCTGGGGAGGGACTTTTTACTGGGACATGGAGTGACAGGACGAGGGGGAATGGCTTTAAACTGGAAGAGGGCAGGTTTAGATTAAACATTAGGAAGAAGTTTTTCACTTTGAGGGTGGTGAGGCACTGGCACAGGTTGTCCAGAGA